TAAATAACTCATGGAAAATATTAGACTTGTTTAAGCTGTGCTTCTGGGGCACATAGAGAACATTTTGTAGCGATGGTCTAGTTTCCTGAGATGCCCTTGCAGTAGTAAAAGTAATCATGTCCTTGAATACAGTTAAATGATGAGGAAATCTGGTTTTAAGGGCGCTTATGTAACATTACACGTTGCCCGTATGACTGTGTGTGTACAGCAAAATGACAACAAACTTGATTTGATCTGATGAGTGGATCAGCAGCTCCTGTGGTCAAACTGTGACATCTGGTTATGGTAGCAAATGTAAAACATAGTGTGTACGTCAAAAAAAGCCTCTGAACTAATTATTTATTGACACGTACATGGCAGCATCTATTTAAAGTTCTCATTTACACTTTGACACCATCTGATACTGATAAAGGCAAAGTAAAGGGCAGGCTGTACTTGAAAACAACCGTTCATGTTGAAGTCGTCATACAAAGTGTTGTGTGGTCAGTCAGAAGCGTTTCAGTGTTTGTACCTGTTGGCCACCATCAGACAGTGGGGTGAAAAGCTTGCTGTCACAGAGAGGGATGCACATGGTGAACTGGGCATAACAGGGAACTTTCAGACATTCTCTTCTCAAAGGTAGTTGTGGCGTTTCACTTGGTTCTTCACATAAAAAGTGGCCGTGTGTAAAAACAAAAGAAGATTTAGATCTGAAACATCCCTGAAGGTTTGACCAAAAAAAAAAAAAAAAGACTTCTTATGTTGTCATTGTGTTCCCCTTTTTTTTGTAGAAATCAAACATCGAGTGAGGACAGCAAGAATGAATGTTGCAAAGCAATAACTAATAATGTAGTGAAAGCCCTGCAACCTTTTACCACATGAGAAGCTCTATTGTTTAACTGAGTTCAGATAAATACAGTTAAAAAACATTCATTGCCCACTAAACATGGGACTCCATAAGGATTTGGATTTTTAGCTATATTCAAATTTGATGAATTGTTATAAAATTCTGTTTCTTGCTATGTGGTTGGGAAACCTTAAACTGCTTGGGTCAGTTTCATATGTGTCCAGAATGTCTCAGCTGCATGCTGGCAAAGCTGTTTGCATCCTTGCAGCTGAATGTCTGTTTATGTTTGTGTGTATGTGTGTTCTCCCCGTCTCAAAGGGAGGTGGTACATCCGTGAAGGCTGGCTGAAGGTGGTCCCTCAAAAAGGTTCCGAAGCGAAGCCCAAGATGTTCTTCCTCCTCTCTGACATGCTGCTGGAGGCCAAACACTGTAGTCCACTGCATCCCACCAATGGAGACAAGTTTGCTGGCCAGCAAGCCTACCCACTGCAGGACTGCACTGTGGAGAAGGTGTTTGGCCACACCAGGAGCCAGGGAGGCCTGCTCAGCGTGAGTGGCAGCCAACTACTTGTGTCTTATTCATGTGACAACTTTCTTTGGAAAACATTACAGGGATCATGTGTTATACTGTGTGACATCATATTTGATTGTGCTTAGCTCTACAGCACAGACAAGCCAGGAAAAAAAACATAATAAATGGATGGCATTTTTCCGAATCTGAAGGTAATATGGAACTTCAACAGTATCGGTTATTTAAGTCAAGTGGATGTCTTCCCTCTTTACAGTCTGTTAGTGTGACATTTTATATTATATGAACCTACATAGAGTGAGCTTATTACTGAGGAAAAACAAAGGCAGTAAACCTACGTACAACTACCAGGATGAGGTTATCCATGTCATTTTTTTAATTGTTGGCGTTGCTCAGGCTTCAGATTAGCATCAGCTGAACCCGTGAGTACACTTTTACATCGATGCAAAACTGTAATTTTTTTCTGTCTCCCAAAAATTGGAAAAAGTTGAACTTGAAAAGAAAATGTTCCGTGTTCCTCGAGCAGCAGGTGGAGAGACATCTGTTCACTGATTTTAATATACACATGAGTGAGTCTTTAGTGAAGGCATTATTTAATTTCTACTTTTGATGTATGTAGCTTAGATTTGTCTCACTTACTTACTCTGCCTTGATGGTTGCTGTTATATAATGTGCCAAATAGAGGTTTTCTGAATGTTTTCAAGCCTTACTGGATGAAATGTCACTGCGTTTTGCTTGTCAGAGGAAACCTGTGTTTCCTCACCTTTTCTTGTCCCTAATTACTTCAAATCCATGTTGAGAAACCCCCAAAAGTTGAACTTTTAATGTGTCTCTCCTCTCAGTTTGATCCGTCTCGCAGGTCTCAGTACAGCTGCTTGCTGACAAATTCTGTCTGAATGATGTAGTTGCTGTCATGAAACATTCAAAGGAACGAGTCACGCCTCATTGAGCAAGTAACCAAAGCGTTTACGAAGCGAGTGTTTAGTGCCAGCGCTGTATGGTATCAATATTCATTTCAGCTGATAGGCTCTCAGTCAAAGGGGTCTTTATATTGTGCCGCTAATGTGCTTCCCTGTGATTCACAGCAGCTTTGTAGAGGTTTGATGATGCTACTGTCCTGGCTGTTGGCAGCATTTAATAGTTTTGCCAAAGCTCAATTAACACAGGATTAGTGACATATATTTGGGCCAATTTGATTTCCAAGTACAACTCCTATAAACGGAACATTAACCGATTGTAATTCAACTCATACGTGTTCAGTTATCTGTGGATTTATGAGGTAAAAAGGCATCAGTGACACATTTTATAAGCTGCATCTATACCGTTTTGTTTGTTTGAGTTCATTTAGAATAGAACTAAGCTTAATCATGTTTACATTATCAGTTTCCTGTCATCTGTTTTTCAAGTAGTTCATCATGTAGCTTTTCAAATGTCAGAAATCTGAAAAAATATCCATTATTACCATAAATCTGGTGTTGTCGACCCTACAGTCCAGTCAAATGATATTCTGTTAGCTGTGATAAAAGAAAAAGAAAAAATCATCACATCTGAGAAGATAAAACCACGAGACAACTTTATACAACTGCAATAGTTATCAAAACCGATGCTCTGTCTGTTGACAAAACAATTGATGAACTGCTTTCTTCAGTTCTAATTTAAACTACTCCTTGATCCAATAAGTTGAGACGGACGTTTGGCACCGTGTGACTGACGGATCATGACATCAGTTCTGGTAACAACTGGCGTGTGGGTGAAATTTAAAAATGTTGTGAGGCTGTGCAGTGCAAAACACAGACGGAAGGGTGAATTCAGATGGTTTAGCGCCAGAGATGTGTGTCCGTGGGATGGTTCTGGCCCGGTGACGTGTTGTCATGAGCGGGCCTGTGTGACTTCATTATTGAAGGTGCTGTGAATTAAAAGCATCCTTCAAGAGACCAATGTAGAGGCAGCTGATGCGGAGATTACACTGCGTGTGTGTGTGTGTGTGTGTGTGTGTGTGTGTGTGTGTGTGTGTGTGTGTGTGTGTGTGTGTGTGTGGAGTGAAGTGATGGCGGCCTGCCTGCTGTAACAGAATCCCTGAGTTGCTGGATCAGATTAGGCTGCATATCCATCTCTTCCGGGCCTCCAGTAAATACATCTTCCTCAAGTCTGTTGCTGCTCTCCGCTATCCTACTGCACGTTATCTAATGGCAGAAATGGCATTTCATTAGCCTCTTATCCCACTGAGGCCCTAATGCATACTCAATAGCATTACACGTAATTTCTCATAAGGACACATTATTGATCTCGGGCCCCTACCTGAGCTCAAGGAAAAGGGCTGTCAGCACTCCAGAGCCTTCCTTATGCAGAGCCATGAAGAATTAAGCACAAATTAAATTTGACAGCTGTAAATGCCATGGCAATCTATATGCAAAGTTTGGGGGGGGGTGGGAAAAAAAAAAGGTTTTATTAAAATTTCCAGTGTTCTTTTTTTTTTTTCCTCCTTCATCCTTTTCTCCCCAGTCACACATGTTTGTAGAGCGCCGGCTTTTATTTGTCGCTTATCTCCCATTTTGCTCTTCATCTCCTGTCGTCTCTTTTCCCTCCGACTGTCTCGACCTTGCTTATTCTCTCCTTTCTCGCTGTCTGCAGTCTTCCTTTTTGCTAATATCCCCTCGCTACTTGAATATTTTCCCACATCCCCGGCAGATTCTCTTTGATGTATAAATAATCAAGCTAAATTATGTGCAGCGAGGAGGCTCAGCGCTCTGCCGTTCTTCTTATACAAAGTAATTTCTACCTAAGAGGGTCAGATTTCCTGACAAATCCCTAATTACCGCATCGCAATAGAAGAATCTATTTGTGCATAAATCAACCGCTGTCCCCCAAGTGGTGGGTGCCGAGTATCGTGTGCCCTTCAGTTCTGCTCCACTCACTGAACTCTGTAATTAGATAATACTTTTGATGATGGTACATTGGAAATCTTAATTTATTTAATGTATAATGAGAGGCGCTCTTTCCCCCTTGTGTGAAACATCATTGTCTGTTGAGCTGTGTGCCGCCGTGTACCAGCAGAAAGTTCTGTCCAAATACACACGGAAATAATCGGCAAACCAGTTTCCTGTTTCTAGGCCGCAGCCACAGGTAGATGTGAAAGGTCATTTAATATGGTGAAGGCCTCATTTTTATCCTCTCTAGTAGCTGTCCTATGTTGCCCCCTGTTTGGGTTTGGACGTCTCCCATCGGTTTGTTTGACATGTACGATCTGTGGCTGGTTCTGTAACGTAAATGAAAGAGTTGACTTAAAGAGGGGTGGACCCTGTTGGTCTGTAGAACGCAGGAGTTCACAAGAGGTCTGAGCACTCGCTTCTGTCCAGAACGTGGTTTTCCTTTAAATGCCACCTTATTGCATGAGATGCTGTTATTTTACTTGACTTAGTTTATTTTAGCGGCGGTAGCTTTTTCCACAGGATGAGCTGATGGAGAGGAGAAGTTTTTGCTTGATTTGGGCTGCCCTCTGCTGCTTTTATTAGGTTACTGCAGTTAGTCTAAGCTAAGCTGTAAAAGATGAATGGTTAGGCTCTGGAAATATTTCTAATAGTTCCTGGACTGCTCAGCCTCTCTGTTGGGTTGTTCTGCAGCTTTCGAATCATGCAGTGGTCAGGGGAAAAAAAGAAAAAATAGACGACAAAAATACAGAATGTGCTTTGCAAAACCATTTTAGTCATATTAACACTTGTATTATTGTATGATCTAAAGTTCATGAAGCCCAGCTTGACCCACTGTTCCCCGTAGCTTTCCAGTGTCCACATTGTGTGCACTGGCTGGGTGTACTCCAAAGATAACATCCAGCTGATACCAAGTTGTGGTTTATAAAGGATTCTTTCGTGCACAAAATAACTTTACAGACGGAAACATAAAGCAAAAAACGGGGGTGCCAAGTTTTTTGCGTTCAAAAACTTTTTTGGTTCCTTGCCTTCTTTCTTTTCTCAGGGGCTTTTGCAATTTTAGGGGCCCCTGTTTTGTTGACCCAAACTTTACAAATAAATCAATAAACCAAAACACCTCACTGACACAGAATTCAATCCTCCAAAAATATGATTAACAACATTTAACCAAGTAACAGATACATTTATCAAAATAAAAATGTTAATCATATCAAAGTTACTGTAGAACAACAAATCAAAACCAAATAGAAATAATCATGGTAAAATAAGAACCAAATCCAGAACCAAAAGAAATAGATTTAGGCTCCTACAATTATTATGTGCCATAGGTGGCTGATGAGTTTAACGATTCAAGATTTCTTAATCCAACATGTTAAAATACAATTCAAACTGTAGCATAAACTTACAGAGCTGTTACAGGTTTTTCAAGAGTCTGAAGAAACCTTGTGATTCTTGATTGTTGAAGATAAAGAGGGCAGCCTTTGTGTGGGATGAGTATTTGAAATATGAGTCAGCAACTCTAATTCTTAGACTATTTCAAAAAACACATATATTCTACAAAGTTTATAATTATTGTTTCCTAATGAGAGAAATGTCACATGCGTTGGCGTGGTCCGTTCTGTACCACACTTTTAAGTTTCCTGGTGATTAATCAAAGTGTTTTACTCAGGTTAAAAGTATTTAATCAAGACATTATCTATCTGCATCACAGACGTCTTTCCCAGTACTGTGGCCTCCTGTTGTTGTGACAGATATTCACTGTCTGGCCACTGTGAACGCTGCCTCCGATTAGAGAAAGCAACCCGCTTACACGCTGCCTCCAGTAGCACATCCAGATGATTCAGTACAACTGGGAAAAACACATGGTTCCAGTGTTCTTCACTCCATCAAAATCCTGGTTCTTGGTCTGCAGATATAAGTCTGATGGACTTTGTCCCACTCCTCGTATTCTGACGCAGGTTCTCTGTCTTTCAAACAGATTGACCGTTCTTCACATTTGTCATAAATTTGCAATCAGAGGCAGGATGAGTACAAAATTCAGGACAGCAAAATAAGACACAGTCTGGGAATAATTCCTATTGGATTGCTTTCATATTATATTTCTAAAAAAAAGTACACATACATGAAAAAAGGCATCATAATAATAGTTTTTCCTTAGTTCCTGCTCAGATCAAGATCATGTTTATTAGGACTGTTTATTGTCTGACCATAAACCAGTTATTTTAACTTTTAATACACATGATGCAGCAGCTGGTCATTCTTTTGATAATTCAATTCAATTTTATTTGTATAGCACATATTTACAACAACAAGTCATCTCATCGCGCTTCACAAAGGCAGAGACAGAAACACCCAACAATCCAAAACATTTGGATTCCCTATAAGCTTCAGCAGTCCACAACAGTGGGAAGGAACTGAAAACCCCCGCAGGGGAAAAAAAACCGCCGACAGAACCAGGCTCAGTGAGGGACGGCCATCTGCCTCGACCGGGTGGGTGGATGTCGGATGAATTATAATTATGAGGATTAGATCCATCTCTGGCTGATGACGATGTACTCTGCTTCTTGCAACCCTGTTTACCTTCCATCCTGTCCCTCCAAATGTGATCAAATGTGATCATCGATCCCACAGAGTGTACTGGAAAGGACAGTGTGGATCTCTTCTTTCTGATACTTGTGGCCAGTATTTTTTTAGAGCAAATAACTCGTGTTTTTAATCTTTTTATTTCCTTCAGAGTTTGGAAAGTGGGGCGTTATACCCCTACTTAAAGCTACTTCTGTCATCTTGAACTCATCTCAATGTGGCTTCAGAGCATTCCATTGTGCTGTAGCTACTCTTACTAAAGTTATGTCTGAGATAAACACTGCAGAGTGCAGCACTTTATGCTGATCTTTCAAAGGTTTCTGATGCTGTTGATCATCACCTGCTCTTATAAAAACCTACATAAATTACATTATGAACTACAGTATGATGTATTCTTTACAAGAGCAGGCGCTCAGTAAAGAGACAAACATCAAAAAGTTTCAAAAGACTCTTAACTTTAAAAAAAAATTATTTGCACCATTTCAGTGTTCGGCCTTTATTGGGCAAATGGTGTGTGACAAAGAGAAGCCACCTCTTGTTTTAGGAAGCAAATCATCTTCCATAAGAAAGAAATGTTCTTGTTTCTATTTAAGCAACTGTTTGGCATCTTTTCTGCTTCTCTTTTAGAACATCTTGCTGTGCATCTGTTTTGTCTCTCGCTATAGAGTGATGCAACTCAACGATCTGTTACGTATAAATAAAAGTTGAATCAATAAATTAAAGTTGAATGAATTAACAAATTAGCACAGTACCTCTAAGCAAATACTGAAGGTTTTCTACCTGTTGTGCTGAACTTTAGATGTACTTGAGTGGCTAATGCAGTCTGTACCTGTGTGATGGGGCATTGTGCAGCTGAACAATTCAAACCAGAACACATGCCTGAATATTTTTTATTGGAGTGACAGAACTGCTTCATGCACCAAGACACTGGTCTCTTTGAAATGAATGAGGAAGCCAGCATTTTAACTCTGCTATTGTTGTGTATGTATAGTTCAACAATGGTCCTCCACGCATCCATCACAGGAAGGCAGCACAACACCTCCAACTACCAACAAACGTCATAACCACTGTCCTCTTTTTTTCCTCTTACTTCAGCTGACCTTCCCCAAAACCAAACTTTTACTGATGTCCAGCAACCAGGAGGATCTCAATGGCTGGTACCAAAGCCTCAGCTCAGCAGTCATGTATGTACATGCTACACACACACACACACACACACACATGCATCTTTGTCACTTAAACAATCATCCCATTCATTGTTTTAATGATGATTATGGCATATAGCTCATGAAAACCAGAAATTCAGCATCTCAAATTATTTTATTTCAGATTTAAATAGATGCTGTTAAACCTGTATGAGTATCTCTTGGTATAATTCAGTACAAATAACCACATCAATATAGAATACAGATAGAACAAAGTGAAGTTAGTCCCAATTCTAACATAAACCTTCACACAATATCTTAGTCTTTAAACTGCCTTTTGACAGTCTGTCCAAAAAGTGCCTAAATGTTTTCAGTTTTTAAAACTCAAGATCTAAAACTCACTTGGTCCTCACAAAGATTTACATACATTCACACTGGGTCTCTGTGACTCTTTAAGGATTCATAAAATTAAGTGCTGGTATTAAGTAAGTTTAAGTTTACATATCTTTAATTTCTTTACATTTACACAGTAAATGTTTCCACTCAAATGCTTTGTGCCTGTGTGTGGAATACATTCTTGATATTCTGCATTGTACTGTACAGATTCTGTTCTGTTTGAAAAACGTATTCAGAATCGTATATTCATTTTGTGTAACCAACATGAGGAATATTGTGCATGCTGTTGGCATCGTTTTACATCCATAAATTCAGCAAGTCATGCAGCGGTTTCCTACAGTTAAATCTTTATGCCACGTTTTCATGTCATCCAGTGCAACAACGGTGCTCAACAGTGTGTTTATTAATTCTAATGGAAGTCTAAAGTTTGGAGGAAATATCACCGACTTTGATGTTAAAAATACATTTATTTGTCTAGCTGCTGTCTGATTAGTGCTTCACGGGTTAACTGATCTGTCATTCGTGATTTTGGACTCATATGGACTCACGGTTTGTATTTCTGAATGTCGGATGTGCTGTCTTCATGTTTCTCATCTGACGACAAAGCGTGCAGCTGTGAGCTTCACCAGAATGTGGTGGCAGTTCAGCTACATGATAGTATGCACTGTGCAAAGAGACAAGATTTGTCAGCAGGTATGGAATGACTCTTTGTTAAACTGGCCTGTCTGTCAGTCTGTCTCAGCATTGATTATCAGGCCAACCTCTGTAACTCAACTCCCAGCCCGCATGGTCCCAACTTCCCGGAGGAGGGCCCAGGTCAGCCCCATTATGTGGAAGGGCTAGCTATGCTAAGGGCCCCGACTAATTAGTTCATCACTTTGTCAGAGAGGGGAAAGAGGAGGCCATCAAAGAGCTCAGACCACCTAGCAGATGGTGGCCCAGGCTGCAGGCTGATGCCTCTAAACTCCAGGGAGTGTATTTAGCTGTGGGGGAGGACTGAAGAGAGAGACAGGCTGAGAGGACCGGGGGTCAGCAGCACTCACACCACACTGTGTGCAGGGCTGAAGGGAGTGGGACTGTCTGCACATAGCTGAATTATTGATTTAGTAGAATACAGACCGCCCCAGCTGACATGTCTGAGGCTACTGGACGTTGTTCTCAGTGATGATCAAAATAATGCATGGTTCTGTGTGGATACGCCATATAATCAATCAATCAAACTCTGTGCTGCATCTTTCAAACACTTTAGTTTAAGTCAAAGCATTTAACAGATCACTGATAAGCTGATAATAAAACAGAACTAGTACAGAGTAGAATAAGGCTCGATTCAAAAGGAATAAAAAACAATACTAAAAAGATAAAACATACCATCTTGATTATTGACAATCATGAAAGGCCAATATCTGATATTTGGAACCAATATACATGACATGGTATTTATTAACAGCAGTGTAATAGTGATAGCAGTTATTTTCCATTCAGTGTTATTTACACACGTGGACAAAATAGTTGGTAGCCCTCCGTTGATGAAAGAAAAACCCACAATGGTCACAGAAATGACTTCAATCTGACAAAAGTAATAATAAATAAAAATTCTATGAAAATTAACCAATGGAAATCAGACGTTGCTTTTGAACCGTGGTTCAACAGAATTATTTTTAAAAAATAAACTCATGAAACAGGCCTGTACAAAATGATGGTACCCTTAATTTAATATTTTGTTGCTCAACCTTTTGAGGCGATCACTGCAGTCAAACCATTTCTCCAGCTGTCAGTGAGACTTGTGCTCCTCTCAGCAGGTGTTCTGGTCCACTCCTCATGAGCAGACTGCTCCAGTTGTCTCAGGTTTGAAGGCTGCCTTCTCCAGACGCCATGTTTCAGCTCCTTCCACAGATGTTCAATAGGATTTAGATCAGGGCTCATAGAAG